GAAAAATCTTGGAAATAAAAACTTAAAAAAACCGACTTTCAGGCACTAAAATGTAAAAAATAACTAAACGGGGGGTTTTATTCAAAATAGATACCTAATCAGATATTTCCAAAGTCGGTGTTAACCGATGCAAAGCAAATCTAATATATTTCTATATGTAAAATACATCACAAATTGATTGAAATTGAGAACCTCCTCCTTTTTGAAAGTCGGTTAAATATATATAATATATTACATCACAATTAATTAAAAGGTTGTTTTATAAATACAAGAATTATTTTTCTAACACTGCCATTTTTAAGCACGCGTCAACTAAAGCACTTATCTTTTAATAAAAGCAAGGAAGCTATTTAAATCAAGCCGACTTTATGATTCTTAGGGGAATAGCTAGCAGTAAAATGCAGAATTTTATTTCTTCTCTTCATTAAACGAATCTCAGAAGCTTTGAGCAAAAGTAATTTATGTTTTAAGTGCAATTTATCAAAAACGTTATTTTTTCCTTGAATGTAACGATTTAGGCATGTTATATATAGCTTCATTTGTCTTATTGTAATGGCTGATGCGTGAGTAGCTATCGATTGTGAGGTTCTAGGTTCGAGTCATTTTCAACCGACTTCAATAAAAACCGACTTCAAACAAAAGCACTAAAAAGTAAAAAATAACTGATTGGTAGTTTTCATTTACTATACATACCTAATCAAATATTTTTGAAGTCGGTGTGCTTTGCTTTGTATGGGCTGGCACCGATTTCGAAAATATTTGATTAGGTAAGTATTTAATAGGTAGGCTTTAGTTACTTAGCCAAAGCACACCGACTTCGAAAATATTTGATTAGGTATGTATAGTAAATGAAAACTACCAATCAGTTATTTTTTACTTTTTAGTGCTTTTGTTTGAAGTCGGTTTTTATTTTTGTGTTAAAAAGTTTTTATTTTTCCCTTTTTAGTGTAGACAGTAGTAGCAAAGTAAGAATTCTAACGTATTAGGCTTGTCAAATCAAACAAAACAAGCCCAAACTCAAAGTATCTACTATTAGCCTTTGAAGAGTTCCACCTATCCACCTTCTGGCCTTACCATCAGATCAGGTTAACAATACCAAACCACTGTACTATCAACGGAAATAGAAACACTTGCAAAGTTTCAAGTCAATATGACAATTAGAAGTAGGTTAAATTCATCATTAGCTATTTTTCCACCCTTAGGGGTGGTATTTTTTTTTTGAAATTTAAATGGGACTAGTCTGGAAGTATACCCTTTCAAACAAAACAAAAATTGTCCAAATCGGTTAATAAATGACGAAGTTCTGAGGTAACAAACATAAAAAAAACAGTCGAATTGAGAACCTCTTCCTTTTTGAAGTCGGTTGAAAAAAAGTAATTAAAGCCTACCTATTAAATACATACCTAATCAAATATTTTCAAAATCGGTGCCAGCCCATACAAAGCAACCCGGACGTTCCCGTGGGATACATTTGTTTTTGTCTAGGGACGAACCCTAATCGAATCTCTTTAATAATTTATGAAAATATTGTGTTGAATTTTCATTTTAATATTTGCATTATAAACGCGTTATAACTGAGAGGGTTATATTTCTTTTCAACAGGTCGTCAGGGACTGTAGCTATAAACTTGTAAACTGCAACGTTGTATTTATAATCTATATTAAACTAGAAACTATATCAAACTACAAACAGGGTCAGTATTGCAAATTGAATGTTTGAATAGTTTATTTAAAATACTTAAGATTTTATACATTAAGATAATAGTTTAAGAAGTTCAAAATAATATATAATTTTATGTGTATATCTATATGTATGTACATTGTACATATTATATATATTTTTATTTATGGGTATATATTAATTTATACAATAACTAGCGACTCACCCTCGCTTCGCTAGGGTTCGTCCCTAGGTTGATTGCCCATACAAACTTTCATCCCCATTTTCACCCCCTTGAGGAACGATTTCCAGGATAAAAAGTATTCTTTGTACTTCCCAGTGTCTCAAACTATCTTCTTACCTTTCATCAAAATCGGTTTAGTAGATCCAGAGATTACCCCCTACAACGTGACAAACTCACAATTCACAAACTTTACCTCTTTATTATATTAGTATAGATAATTATTGAAGATATCGCGTAACATATCCACACATCAAATTTCAGAAATATTGAGTATCTTTTTTTGAAGTTAAATAAAACATAAAATAAAATATAACATAGACGTGTACATATATTTTTTTATCAATAGACGAAGAGCCTCCGTGGCGCAATCGGCTAGCGCGTTCGGCTGTTAACCGAAAGGTTGGTGGTTCGAGCCCACCCGGGGGCGATACGTTTTGTACTGGAAAATAATTACAAACTCTTTTTGACTGACATAAACAATGAGAGGTGCTCACTACGATATATGTGATATTTACACGATTTGTAAGCCGTTTTTTTTTTATTTTCACTATTAATGTCATGTCAAGGGGTTGGTTTTCGAAAACCGTTGAAAGGTTTCGTTGATTATATCAAAGGTTATAAAATATATGGAGTTTCAATTAGAGGCTGGAAAAATATTATTTTCCATACAAACTTTACCATCCCTTTTAACCCCTTTAAGGGCTGAATTGCAAAGTGAAAGTCAATAAGCCCAAGTAAACTATTAACTACCGTTAGACACTGTCATATTTGCTTAATATATAAGACCACTGGAACAGTGTCACTAAATTTCTCCAAAAATGTTATTTTTTTTTCAATAATAAAATTTTGACTCGAATTTGTACATTAATTTTTTTTTAGAAAATATTGAAATTGTCATTATTATCGATAAAGAGGCCGAATCTATAGTTTTTATAAATGTTAATCGGTGTATCTGTCTATATGGGAGCGCATCACGAGAAAACCAATGGACAGATTTTGATGAAATTTGGTATGATGATAGCTGGTTATCCGGGTCAACATATAAATATCTCCTCTCTAAGAAATCTATACTAAACATTAAAACATATAATTAGACGAGCCAGAGCGAGTCTATTTATTCTACTAAATATATAAAAATAGGAAAAAGTAAAATAGGTCAGTACCTTTTTCTCCTCTGTTTGTTAACCGATTTTCTTTTTTATTTATTAGCTATTGAAGAGCTTTAGTTTTACAATAAAAAAATTTGGAAACAGTTTTTTATATGGAAAGTTAAATTCTTTTTTCATATATATTTTTCCCAAATTTTCAATATTGATTATAGTTGAATTTCGACCACTAATAATAATAATTAATAAATAATAAATATGTTCGGACATTATAACACAGCACCATCTAGTTTCATGGTAAGCCACAAGACTTGTGTTATGGATACCATACAGTTGATACACTATACATATATAACTTTAATTACATACATATTATAAATATAAACACCCATGACTGGAGTACAAACATTCGTACAAACACTGGGCGAACATTAATTCTATTTTATCTTTAAAAATATTGAACGATCATTTCAAATCTACGACATCTAGTTTTTGGTACCTAGTTTTCCTTTTCCCGCGGCTTCGCTCGTATAATCGATAAAAGAATATAGATATATCTAAATCTAGAATATAAGCTATAGCCATTCCGAATTCCACCCTTTGTTTAGCCGTTACGGCGTAACAACGCAACAAACACTATTTTTTATATATTTCGCATTTATATTACAAGTATAAAATATTGAAAGCAAAATATACGAAATTAAAACAACCACAAATGAGTGACATTAAAAAACTGTCACTCCTCTTAATCTCTTTGGGATGTATACACGATATGTAGGGCTCATTTTCAAACGGAATTATATTTATTTTTAATACAGTCTCATGAGAGGTTTGAATTTTGATACTGACATATTTTTATCATGTTTTTATTAACTTAACTTGTATCTATGTAATCACATTATCTTATTACTAGCGACTCACACTCGTTTCGCTCGGGTTCTTCCATAGGTACGTTTAATTTTTTTTTAACGGAACTCTAATTCTTTTTCTAAAATAAAAGTAGCCTATGTTACTCCCTATAACATTAGCTATCTTCCAGTGAAAGTCCCGTCAAAATCAGCCCAGCCGTTTCGGAGATTATCCGGAACAAACAGACAGACAGACAAAAATTAAAGAAAAGTGTTTTTCTTATAAGTACTTTATATAATTTCATATGCACTTACTAAAACGCTGTTATTTTGACATTAAAAACAGACACTTCAATTTTATTTATCTGTATAGATTTCGTCGCTACACAAAGTTAGATATGACCTAAATATCAACGAAAATCTTCATCATTATTTTTGAGAAAATACTTATTCGAAGATCGAAAATTGAGACAAAATAGGGCTATTCCGTTGACAAATACATTTCCCCTCGATTTCTTTCAATTTGATGGAGTATTTCAGAACGAAGTAAATGACTCACGCTTTTACAGAACGTTAAATAATACTTTATTCGTAAAGGCTATGTAGTATTAGCCCTCAAGAGAAGCACTATCGCTGCTGCGCGATCCAGAAGCAGTGGGTATGCCATACCCGCGTGTCTTTGATTAATAATATCTTTCGATCAAATTGTCCGATATAGAATTTTTTTTTTTCATTTTAAAGCTTAGACAGTGTAGATTAAGAATATATCCATAGAATTGTCATAAAGAAAAAATTATCTTGAATAATATAGAAAAAAATCAACATAAACCCTTAAAATGAGGTGTTTTATTCAAATTACCATATCTAGGCAGAATTTATAGATAAAAAATTTTTCCCGACGGCATTTGAAAGGGAATTAAATGTACTTTTAGATAGTTATTTCGTCATTTAACTGTAATTGATAAAAGATATTTATTTAGTTAGGTAAAGTTCAGTGTTTTTAGAATGATATTACTTAATTAAAAAATATGGATTCATTATTCTTTTATTAATACAAACATTTAAATTACTTTATAAAACTTATATTTTAAATGGATTAATGCTACAAAAAATTAAGAATATAACTTCAAGCTACATTTTTCAGCTTGGTCGACCACGTTTCCTCTTGCCTGATGTACTAGGTATTGATTCAGACTCATTGCTTGATGACTTACTTTCAACAGCTTCTACCTGCTCTTCTTCGCTTCCGTCTTCATCACTCTCATTATGCTGCACTTCAAAAACTGATTCAGTCTCGCTTTCACTTTCTTCGTCGTCAAAAACATCTGCAGCCTCATATAATGCGTTTACTTCAGACGCACGGCGAGTACGAGAACGTGTATTCATTTTGAGCTAGAGAAAAAATGAAAGAAACCGATAAATAAATGTTAAAAAAATAGAAAATCAAATTTTTAATAAAAAATACTATAGAAAATGTAATATTTATAATTTACTTACGAAAAACTGTCACGATCGGTAAAATTTCAATGTAAATACTCCAAAAAATGCACTTGAACTAAGCAATATATATAATAAAACTGACTGATGATATAAAATATCGATCAGAATTCTTTTAAAATAGATATTTTAGAATTCTAATTATATAAATACAAAAAAAGAACTGAAAAACACAATTTTATGCAAAACGTTGAGTCAGATAAAATAACAAAATACTGACGCTACAACAGCACTGGGTAGCGCATACCCATAGACTGACTACGGCCGCCTATATTTTAGTCCGTATTCACATCTCAAGATAACTATGGTGGGGAATCTGTAGTGGGGATAGTAGAGATTTTTCCCCTAGGCAAAGTCACCTTCCCATTGTAACCATTTCTGAAGGAGAAATATTTTTAATTTACACATGGGTATCCCATACCCAGTGCTTCTCTTGAGGGTTTAGTAATGCTTATGAAAATGTTATTTTACATGTTTTTGTTCATCGGAACATTTTATAATTATTATTAATTAATACATAGGTATTACATGTTATAAAGTTCTAAATGAGTCGAATCTGTAGAAAAAAAATCTTTTTTTTGGAAAATCTTATTGAAATAGTCATTATTATCGATAGAGAGGACGAATCTATAATTTTTAGAATGTTTGTATGTCTGGGAACGCATTATGAGAAAATCACTGGACAAATTTTAATGAAATTTGGTATGATGATAGCTGGTTATCCGGGTCAACATATAGGATAATTTTCACTGCCGGAAAATATCTCAAATCTGAGAAATCTATATATACTAAACGTTAAAACGTAACTAGGGATGAACCCGTGTGGAGCGAATATTAATACATACTCGTAATATAATGAGTATACTCATTTTTGATTTTTATAACTTTTTAAGTAATGTAATTTTTACTGTATACGGGATAAGGCCAAGTGTCAATGGAGAAATGGAATTAAGGGAGAAAAGAAGATTTGAAAATTGTACTAATTAGCATACGTTTAAGATTTTTGCTTCCTGGGGAAGTGTGTACGTAGAAGGGTGAATATAAAGCATTTTCAGACTTTGACGTGGAATTTCTTACCATTGGTTTTAATTTCGATCTAAAGCTAAGCTTGTTTTTTGCTATTTTGTCAGTTTATAACGAAGCGAATTGGGTTCTGCGAAATTATATATCACCGTTTTACAAAAAAACTTGATTTGATCATAAAAATGTCTACTGTAAGAAGAATGTCTAGTTGTTATCTAGGGAAGTCAGCTAGAAAAGCCAGTACCCACTGAAAGCCAGCAAAAGCGCCGCACTCAATCATGACGGCTGGCCTTTCGAGGCACACCACAGTGTTTCTTTCATGGATCACTGCTATTAGAGAAGTACCAGGAGTAACCCGCATGGTAGGTTTACCGAAGCTCATCGTGGTCTGAGCTTTCAAGTAAATAAGCCATTTTAACAACACTTACATAGTTCTGAACTAAACAAAACTAAACGAACTAACCCGAGATTCGAACCCAGGACCTCTTGATCTGCAGATGTATATACTAACCAGTATACCGATGAGGCAGTCACTCCACAAGTAAGTCATATATTCGTAACGATTCTGCCTCCAGCTTTACTTAACCTATGCATATGAGTTTCCGCTTAGAGAATTTAACATGATTTTCCACTTATTCCTTATTTTATCCATTCTTACGTTTCATTCATTAAATATTTTTATACTTCTTCTAATCGATGCAAACGAAAAATATAAACTAAAGTTAGGCCTTGCATTTTCGTAGTCTATTAAAATGAAAGGTGCGAAAACCTAGACAGTATTAACGAGTAAAATTATTTTAGGCGTATATGCTTGGGATTTTATTCTAAATCCAGACTGACATATTTCTTTACTAAGTTGGTTCTCTGCTTAATATTTCATGGGATAAATTTTAGATGCGGTCAAGCCACAGATTTGTTTATGGTTCAGTCGTGTTGGACGTGTCTAAAGTAGCTAAGGTAGTTACCGACTTTCTTGATATAGAAATTTATTATGTATTTTTACCTATAAACCCTTATGCCCTAGATTCGAGTCTCGGTTTGAGTTTGGTAGTAGGTTTTCATGTCAAAAACCTGACTTTAACCGATGCTCCTTGTCCGGATTTAAGAGTTGATTGTGAGATAAAACATAAAATTAAGTTAAACTTAAGAAATATGTTTTTTCCTTTACTCCCAAGTCCCAGATCCGTCTATAATCACATCATTCCCAAAATATTCTATCTATTAAGATATAGTTATGTAAAAAGTCACCTGTAACTATTTAATGTTTACACCCTTTTTAAATAAATATATACCTACATATAATAAAATTCTAACTCCGCCGAATCTGTACATTATATATTTTTTTGGAAAATTTTATTGAAATAGTCATTATTATCGAAACAGAGGCCGAAACTATAGTTTTTAGAATTTTGTCTGCCTGTCTGTTATCGCATCACGAGGAAACTACTTGACAGATTTTGATGAAATTTGGTATGGTGATAGCTGGTTATCAGGGTCAACATATAGGATACTTTTAACTGCGGGAAAATATTTCATCTTTGAGAAATCTATACAAAAGGTTAAAACGTAAGTAGGAACGAACCCGAGCAAAGTGAGGATGAGTCGCTAGTAAAAAATAAAAATGGTACTTACATTTTTATTTTAGTATAAGTAATAACAATTTAAGTCAATCCTCCAGGTATCAGAAAATGTATTACATATCTATTGATAAACTTTAACTTGAAAGATAAACTGTCTAACTTTTAATAATATTATTTAAATTTCATTTTACCAACAGTATAACAAATTTTAAATCATATATTATATTATTAAATGAGCATTTCTTATATAATATATATTGTATATAATAATATGCATTTTTATATATTGTATATGTATCAAAAAAGTGCGCAAGCTGAAGTGCGTCTTACGCTCAAATAGGTCTGAGTCTGGTTCGGGGGTCGTCAACCGAAGGGTCTGTCTAATGTGGCAATGCGGGTTGTGGGTTCATGCAGCAATAGTTGCGCTTAATATAATACAACGTAATATAACTTAGGAACACAATAGGCGATCTTCAACATAGTTGAGATCATACTCAGGTGACTTTTGAACTACTCACAAGTAGTAACTTGTATATACATATATAGCTCATATATACTTGTAATATATTATATCCTTGTAATAAATTAGATCTAACTATATCGCACGCTCCACTTAAGGTACTTGGCACAATTACCAAAATTTCATGAAAATTATATCGGTTTACATATTTGCTGTTACAAACAGACACACATATATATAAATAACTATATATAAGTACATATTTCTAAGTTTTCTAAAAAAATAAAATTATTTCTCAGGAATTGTACTCACGTTATAGGTTAAAGCTATGGCGATAAAGTACGTTGATTCATTAGCTACTCATCACGGCGGTATTAATGGAGGCAAACACGTATGATGGATTGGTACCATCACTCTTAGGATTAAACATATACGCATTATATTTATAACTCACTTAGCAACCTTAGCTACCAAGGTAAAAGGAAGAATAATAATAAAATAAGAGAATCTTTGTAATATTCTATACCTATAAGATATAATAAAAGTGTAACTGATTGCGGTCTGTACATGGAAGATATTTGAGAAAAACTGTTATTGGGATATTTATTCATGCAATAGAATCCAAAACAATAATTTTTCGAAATTTTGTCTGTTTATCTGTGCATTTGTGTGCGCTTATCTAAAAACGGCTTTACCGATTTGGGAGCGGATTTAGCTAATGTATTATAGTAGGCTTCACTCAACATTTAGTATATGTTTTATTTCAATCGGTTCATAAACAAAAAGTTATGTCAATTTAAAGAATTACCTAAGGACGAAGCCACAGATCGAGAGATTTTAATATTTTTGTTATAGCGAAGAAAACGGAAAATAATCTCTTTTCTCTCCGCTTTAAGTCCCAGGGACTTGGTAACTTTAGTTGTGCTAGGCTATGATTCAAATTACATCATCTCAATTATTCAACTATCTCAATTACATCATGCTGGAATTGAACTGTTGATAATGGTGTAATAAGCAGTATCTGATATACAGCACTCAAAGGCCCATGTCGGCTAACTATATTTCCAGTTAGCTATCACTAAAACATGGAATATATGTGTACGAAATGAGAACTATATAATATGCATTATACATGGAAATAGTTTTCTTTTGGTAGAAATCGAGCTAACCCTTTTTGTCTTCTATTTTTTGCTTAAATTATACAAAATAAGCCAATTTTTTGTACAGGAATTGAACTTGTTAACCATAGTGTATTATTAATATGTAGAGTTTATTAAACTGTTTATTAAATGACATCCTTTAAAACAGCTAACGAAGCGCCCTTATTTATTAATTCTATTTAGTTTATGGTTAAAGATAGCTTCGCGCAGACTAAAACCGAAAAGACCAAAATGAAACCGAACAAAAAAGTTATATAAAAAAATAAGCACTTTAAGTTGTTTAAAGAAAATGTTTTAAGTTAAATTGCCTTTCTAGAATGTTTTAAATTATAATATTAAAAATAGTTGATATGGTTTCTTCTTAATCCTTAATAACTTTAAAAGTACATATCAAAAGAAGCACACAATGTACACTCTAAATAACAGAATTTAATTTTTGGAATAGATAAAAAAATAATTGTAAAACCAATATAAATGTCTTAGAAAGGGTTTTTATTACTTAACTAATTTCTTATGATATCATTCACAGTTTTAGTAAAATTCAGAATAAAGAAAGCTTATAAGCTTCAATTCGGAATTTTGCTAAAACTAGTAGCAGTTACAGCATGCAGAACTAATGAATACTCTCACCCACTTTTCATATTTATTTGTATGTAACTATCGTCTCACCCTCGCTTCGCTCGGGTTCTTCCTTTAGTACGTTTTAACGGTTAGTATGGAGTAGATAGACTATATATTATAGATGTATGTGTATATATGTACATATTCATTGTATTATAAGGTATTTTTCTATGGGATAATCACCCGCCGTAAGAAGCCTATGTCACTCAGCAGCCCTCTAACTATCTCCACATAAAAAATCAATCTAATCTATTACCGTGTTTCCACGTCAGAAAGACAAACAAACAAACACACTTTTATATTTATATTATTAAGTATAGATTTTATCTGTAATACTTTAACCAAAAACGACTATGTCTCTGTCTTCTTTTCATTCAATATCAAAAAATGATAACTACTTTGAGGCTGATAATATTTTTTAACAAAATTGTATCATAAAATAAGACGTATCGCCCCCGGGTGGGCTCGAACCACCAACCTTTCGGTTAACAGCCGAACGCGCTAGCCGATTGCGCCACGGAGGCTCTTGTATGCAACATCTAATAAAAGACTCTGGCGTAAAAAATGATATAGGGTCTATTATTTCAACATTTAAAAACATACATACGTTCTACGCTATAGATATATGTCTGTTAGTTTTCTTGAATAAAATCCAATTTAATAAACTGTAAATGTTAGTCTTAACATTTCAAAAATTGTTTCTTTTCTTATCTGCTCCTTTCTTGTCTGGTTCATTGGCTAAAGTATACCTCAAATATACATAATATATTGACGACACATTCGGCTAAGTTTGTAATGACCCTACTTGCTGTGCCAGCGGTCGCAAGTTTGAGTCCCGCTGGGGGGCATCAATCAGCATCAGCACAATCATTTGTGTGAAGAGCACGAATGTCTGTACTCCAGTCATGGGTGTTTGTATTTATAATTATACCAATAAGTATGTATTATAAGTTATATATATGTAGTGTATCAACTATCTGGTATCCATAACACAGGCCTTATAGAGGAAGAGCGCGTGAACGCCAGACCTCCGTCATTTTATAAAGGCTGAAAGTTTGTCAGCGCATGCTCCCAACACAGATAAGAACAATGGATCATTATGAAGTTCAGGCTATGGTGGCTTTGGCAGGTACACGGTACTAAAGGTGTGTAATATACCGATCTAAATTCGTCAAATAATAAAGTGTGATTTTTTCTTATTACCTTCAGAATATTATTAAAAATCACGTCATTCAATGCCAGACACGTAACACGTTGGCTACTCTTCCGCGTACTTAGCTATTCTTCATCTTATTAGCAATCTTAGGGACAGGAAAAGATGAATTCTTCTTTAAAGATTTTCCCCGACTAATAGGTGTTAAAAGATTTTCCCCGACTAATAGGTGTTAAAAAATTTCCTCGTTAAACTTTACTTACCTTTTACCATATTCCAAAGAAAAGTGAAAATTAGTCTGAGATATTAAAGGAGTGTTCCTAATCGAAGGTCTAAAGGACCTTTTGAGACAAGTTTTTAGGGCAGCATGTGTGAAGAGCGTTGTGGTAATGAGATAGAACAATGAAA